CTAATGGCACTGGATTTGCAAACAATATTTCTCTTTTTATAGTTTTTTTTTTGTGATTGTACTGTAACCACTGATGGTTCTCTTATAAAAGTCCTGTTATATCTGGTAACCATTATTGCTTTTTTAAATGCAACCTCACTGTTATCGTTTCGTTTCTAAAATTAATAAGATCTCCGTCTTGGTCGATGATTTTTATAGTGATATTATTAATTGTCTTAACACTGATTGGAAAATAAAGTATAGGTAGGGGCGACTCGACTATTTTATACCCAGGAGCTACAGCCGGAAAAAACTGATGTATTATGTGAACCGGTTTACCATTACTGTATGAGCCAACACATATATTACAATCGACGCAAATAGCATTGACTTTATTAATATTTACTACTTTATCCGACTGTTCTGTAGTCGATGCTTCAACTACTCGCTTTTTAAATCCAAGCAGTCGACCTATGGAATCATTCGAGGAAAAGTCAATTCGTTTAGAACAAAAAATTGAACTCTTTAAAGTGTTGGAATTTGATTAAAGAATAAAATCGACCTTCTCTTTAAATATCTTTTTCACTTGGTTTTTGACGTATTTCTCGATATCTGTTAAATCGTACGTTCCCTCTGGAATAGTTATAACTTTCTCTCCTATATGTAACTTGTTATTACCGGGTTCAATATTTGGTATGCTCATGTACGTCTCGAAATCTGCTAGTCCCAAAAAGTATTCCTTATCATCATCTAAATAAATTGGCGGATTGAAATCGGCGGATAATATAGAAGTTTTCCCACTTATGGAAATCGTAGTGGACATTGCGAATCTAAATTAATCACTGACGTTTCACTTTAACGGCATGTTATTATATAGAAATTTTAGTGACAGATGTCCGCAATTGTAAGAACTGGACTTTTGTTTGGTTTCATAAGTGTAATGTATGTTAACATTTCCGTTAGAATTAAGATATTTAACTAATTCTACAGGCGGTTTCAAATTTCCGTAACCATCAAAGTAGAAAGCCTTAGTTTTGTCCTTTATGTAGCTGACCCAATGAGTTCCCTAGTTTTTCTCACTATCCAAGTTAACAATTCCGCATTCTTCAATTTTAATTTTTCGCGGTAAATTATCACGCATAAAAACGCCCCTGAAATGCGGAATTTGTAGTATTTTTGCATATTTTTCCAGATCGAAATTTGTCAAAGCTCTTCGAGGTAAATTTATTTGGACTTTTTTTTTCTCTTTCGGGTATTTTTCTCCTTCGACACAACACCGCCCTTATATGGTTTAATATAAAGACCTTTTCCTTCACTTCTACTGTTTTTAAACGGTTTTACGTATAGTCCTTTGCCTTGGGCTTCGATGGCTCTGTTATGACGTTCTTGTTCTGCCAACTGCTCTTTGGCCGCTTTAGCATCGTTTACTGCTTTCGCGATACCTGCCGCTCCTCCGCCTAGCGCGCCAAGTGCTCCCAATATCGGTAGTAAAAGAGGTAAAAATCCACCAATTTTATTAGGTGTTTTTATAATACGCTTTTTTTTGCCCGCTTTCATTTTGCTTGCTTTTTTAACACCCATTCCCAATTTTCGCTTTCCTTTCATTACACCTGTTATGCCTAAAGCGGCTGTTTTTTCTCCAAACGAAGAGTCCTTTGCTTTAACCCTATACCAAGCCTTATCTTCTAAGATCTTGTCTGCTTCGTGTCTCTTTGTTAAATTGTTAGACTGAGAGTATGCTATATCGTGCTCTTTACAAGCAGCGTCTAAGGGATTTATACCTGGATCACCTCTATTTATTCTCTTCTGTAAATGAGTACCCGGTCCGCAGAATTGGTAACCAGGAATATGCAGTTCGATAGGAAGTTTGTTTATAAGTTTATTTACCAATCCTGAACCTTTCGCCCTGTTTCGATGTACAATCATGAGAGTGTTTGGAAATACTGTTTAAATATTTAGGAATTATGCTATAAATACTTTTGCAGGTTCTTGTTAATGCCTCAGTCGAAATGAAAGTTGTTAAGCAAGCCTTTTCTTTACCCGTAAAAAACCACGATGCAAGCTTGGTCCGCGAATTTCAAAAGCACGGCGATCTCTTTGGAGGTAGTTGCAAGAGGGCACTAATTGTAGGACCCTCAAATTCGGGTAAAACCAACGTCATGTTATCATTGCTCGAACATCCTAATGGAATTAGATTTGAAAACGTTTACTTATATTCCAAATCCCTGCAACAGCCAAAATACGTGTAATTGAGAGAACTGCTAAAGCCTTTACAAGAGATTGGCTTTTTTGAGTTTGAGATCGATGAGAATATCGTTTCTCCTCAGGAAATTAAACCCAATTCTGTTATAATATTTGATGATATTCCTTGTCACGACCAAAGTGTCATTAGAGATTATTTCACTCACGGTAGGCATAAAAACACCGATTGTTTCTTTATTTTTCAAGGATATTCTTCTATACTCAAGCGACTTATCAGGGAAAACGCCAACCTTCTGATTTTATTCAAGCAAGACATGATGAGTTTAAAGCATATATATAACGATCACTGTATGTTGGACATGTCATTTGAACAGTTTAGAAATATCTGTGTGTACTGCTGGAACGAACCTTATAATTTTCTTGTGATTGACAAAGATTGTGAGTTAGATAAGGGCAGATATAGGAAAAACTTCGATTCCTTCATTTATATATAATATCCCAAAATGGATAAACGCCTAGCGACGGAGCTAATAAAATCAAGAAACGCAGTTAGAGAAAAATATCAAAGGCTAAAACAAGCCGCAAGTGAATCCCAGACGCAACTCGAACAAACCTATAAACCGATAACTCAACCTCTGCAGCAATTAATTTCATCAATAAATAAAACGGATATCAAACAAGAACCGTTTGAAGAAAAAGAAAATATTAAACATGAAGTGTTAACCTCGACGCCTACCAAAATAAAGGAGAAAAGAACCGGAAAAACCCCAATCTTACCTTCAGAATTGCCCTCATTTTTTGATACCTCCTTTCCGTCGATCCAACAACAAAGCAATGTTGTAGCTGAAAGTACGGGTCTTTCGGACAGCGATACTACGTTGGGAAATCTGTCAGATATTTTAGAACAAACTAAGCAAGCTATGCAGGATTACGTCGACACTCCCGCTTACGAGCAATGGTTGAATGACTTTAATAAATTACCACGAACATACATTGATGACAGCGTAAAAGATACCCAACATATATTTGACCATAATTATGGTATCGTTCATGACATAGAAAACGATAAATTTTTTCTGGGCTTAACCCAAAAAGCTGTGGAAATTGTCGGTAAAGATGTGAAGGTACAAGGTATTACATACCCTGGGACTGTGGGTTTGTATGAGTTACTTTTCAAGAAGGTGCCGGTCGGTTTCAAATCGTAAGATCTAGATAATTATATGGATATACTGAAAAGAACAAACGCGTATCGGAGAAACCATGACCCTAATGGACAAGTGCAAGGAAATGCATCATATAAATATATAAATATAATTGGACCTTATTTACAGGAGCGAGGAATAACAAAAACAAAAAACCCGGTGAGACGACTAGCTGACGCATTTTCTAAAGTGCCTCCGCCTTATAGGACAATCAAAACTGGGACGGGGTTAACTTTAAAATCAAATAAAGAAAATACAGATTATATTTATTGGGATAATGTTAACGAGCTTGTCGATAGATTAAGACTGTTATTGGCATCTACTGCTGCGGGGCACACGGGACATGAGAACGAAATAGCGTCAATTATTGAAGAACTAAGAGAGGGAAAAGTTATCTTATAAAATAAGCACGACTGAGAGTTAGAAAATTATTTGAGTAACAACCGCTGTCATGACTATTAATAAATTTGGAACACACATTAATCACCACCTTAACGAGAAATACGATAATTCAATGAAGGAGTTGGAAAAACATTTATCCAAAATAGAAGAGCTTGAGAAGACATTAAAGAACTATCAGGCAGATATCAATTCCCAACTTAATAAACTTTTGCCACAACAAAACCGATATACACAATGGGTGAACAAATACAATACGAGTTTGGACCAAATAAATCAGTTAGCGACAACAACTAATGAATGATTTAAAATGGTGTTTAATTCAAATTGACGGGCAATCGACAAAGTAATGAGCAGTGAGAAAGCACAACTCGTCCGAGAGCTGCACAAGCCGGCACGCAGAAATTACGCGCGTCGCAGAACTATAATACGAGGGCCGGATGATTTGTGGCAAGCGGATTTGGCTCAGCTAGACCGATATGCGAAACAAAATAAAAACTTTAAATTCATACTAGTCGTGATCGATTGCTTTTCAAAATACGTGTGGTGTCGACCGTTAAAAACAAAAACCGGTGTTGAAGTTACCAAAGCGTTTACCCAAATTCTCAAAGAAGGACGCCGGCCGCAAAATCTGCAAACTGATCTCGGCAAAGAGTTTTATAATATCCATTTTAAAAAAATGACGGGTAGGTTTGACATAAATCACTACAGTACATATAGCAACGTGAAAGCTGCCGTAGCCGAGAGAGTTATACGTACTCTCAAGGAAAAATTATTTAGATATTTTTCGTTAAACGGCACCTACAAATGGATAGATGTTTTATCCTCTGTTGTCGAAAAATATAACAGTAGCGTGCACAGGACCACCGGAATGAAACCTAAAGAAGTGAACAAAGATAACGCGCCTAGTTTGCTGAAATCAGCGTACAGTCACTTGAAAATTGTAGGACCATCTAAACTTAAACTGGACGACGTTGTAAGAATCAGCAAGACCAAGCACGTGTTTAGCAAAGGTTATACTCCCAACTGGACCACGGAATTGTTTAAAATCGTAAAAGTGCAGATTACATTACGGTAACTTATCTGTTGGACGATATGAAGGGTAAGCCTGTAATGGGCGCTTTTTACCAGGAAGAATTGCAGAAAACCGTTGACCCTGACGTCTATCTCGTCGAAAAGGTGTTGCGCAAACGAGGAAATAAGGTTCTCGTGCGCTGGTTGGGCTTGGACAAGTCACATGATTCATGGATCGACACCGCGAATATCCTATAAATTTCTTCTATTATTTTTGATTTTGTGAGCGTCCGAGACAGACATGGAACAAATTGTGTTGCCGGATAATTTTTTAAATTTATTGCAAGAGAATGGTTTGATGGGTCCACCAACAGATATTCCAAAACGTAAGCGTACTGCTGCAAATTCACGAGTTAAGAAAATAAAAATTGAATCTCTACCGCAAGCACAAGGAGAATGGTTCGAGGCGTTCAAAGATGACAACGAAAAAAGGATAGTTTGTGAGGCGTTCAATTTGAAAAACAATTTGGAAAATCAGCTGATGCAATGTGAAGAAGGTATCCAGCAGCTCGAAACTCAGATAGCAGTTGTTCAGGCCGATCTCCAAATACTGCGCTTACGTGTGGAAGAATACAAAGCAAAAATCGGATATTTCCAAAATTTGGCTCCAGGACATATTGTATAAAAATGAAAAAATATTCAGTAACTGTATTTTGATATAAAAATAAAATCGCGTTAAAATATTTTCATTTTATTTCAAATGTTAGCCAGGACGCTTTTGGTCAGATTTAAATTAGGTCTAAAATATCTATGGAACAGCTCTCGAACAGGTCTAGGACAGCCTTAAACAGACCCAAAACCTCTACGGAACAGGTTTCTACAGGTCCGACACAGATATGGACTATTTTGCTTCTTTAAACAGGAATGTTTATTTCGCATTGCGATCGAACAATTATTTTTGGTGACGCAAAGTATAACATACTGACAAAATGAAATTACGGAGTGAGATTTTTTTTTTTGCGTTTTTGTTCGCGTCGAAGGAAATGCGACGATAAACTCGATGTCGAAGGAAACGCATGCGGTAAGAATATCAAACGTTTCGATTAAACCATTTCTTGTGTCGCAGGAAAACACGTATGCCGTTCCTAAGCGGTATAATATGAAAGTCTCGTTTAAAACAAAGTTTAGTTTAAACATTTCGCAAAGCGATGATGTCATGCATCCGCTGCCGCACACCGACGACGCGGCGGGCAATGATATCAGCCAGTTGTCAAACGCGACGGCGGCGGTACGCCTACGACCAATTTTATCAGCGGGTCGCGTTATATTGCGGAATTCTCGCCAACACAAATCTTAATTATTCTGAAGGAACGTTCTCGAATGTAATTTTAAATTCATTACCCCAGACAAATTGGCTTAATTAACAAGTGACCGCCGCCATAGTGAGACTTCATTCTTTGGATTTTTGTTTGTGTTTCACCACTTAAAAAAGGTAAGTGTCAAGTAGAGATCGGGAACAGTTGGAGAGTGAGACGCCTATTCCTCGCAGCAAATAAAAATGTTCACCTGCGAATATTGCAACCGCTCGTTCAGCCGTAAAGACCACCTGGCGAGGCACGGGGACTGTCGCGCAGCAGTACAAATTTGTGACGTTTGCGGCGGGATATACAAATCCGAGGGGGCTCTCCGACGCCATAAACGCGAGAAGCATGAGGTTCCCAAGGCGAAAAGACCCGCCGCCGCCCCTATTGCTGCAGACGAACCCAAGCGCCCGAGACTTGACCTACCGGAAGGTAAGGATTTTTGATTTTATATCCCAAACAATTCTCATATTGTATTTTATAGCTTCGACATCATCATCATCACCATCATCCACGCGCCATTGTACGCAGTGTAACTTGACCATCCTGCAATGAGATGGCAAGGACACTTGCGTACTTTGGCTCACCGCCAAAAATGCAGCGTGGTGCAGGAGCCAGGAGTAGAAATGATACAGACCTCCTTCCGTAACCGCATAGTTACATACCGTCTGGCGTCCACCATTAACCCTACCGACGTTAAGGGCTTCTTGGACCACCTTAGGTCCAAAATCCTTACGTTGGTAGAGTCGAACGTCCGGCGCTACGGCAACGTAAAAGTCGGTATGGAGCTATTCGGAAACTTCCTCTTACAGACGAAGGAACAAGAGGAGGTCAAGTCCTTCAATACCAAATATCGGCTGGTGAGCGGAAACACCGATCTGGAGGAGCTATACGTCCAGTTCGTCGACATCTTGGCTACCAAAGCGTCCGAGTTTCAGGAAAGGGACAGCGGTATGATTCATAAAAATGTATATTTCCGAACTAATTTCTTTCTCTTTTTTACAGGCTGGGCGTTGGAGGAACTTCTCCATTTAGAAATAGGGATTAACAAGTACAATCCCCTAAGGGCGTCGTCCTATGTTAGCCTGCCCAAGGAAATCGAAGCCAAAAAAGCTGTTTTGAACTTGCAAAATACGGACGAAAAATGCTTTATGTGGTCGATCTTGGCTGCTCTTCACCCAATTCACTGGACAAATAACGCTAACAGGGTCAGTAACTATGTAGAATTTCAGAACGAGCTGGATTTTACAGGTATCGATTTTCCCGTTAAACTTAAGGACATATCCACTTTTGAACGACTTAATGAAATTTCGGTCAATGTCTATGGCCTCGAGAGAGTCTATAACAAAGTCCGTAATGATGTTGAGGTCGTTGGTCCTTTGCATTTTACTGAATCTCGTAAAGAGAGACATGTAAACCTATTATTAATTAGTAATGACTATGGAGAAAATCATTATTGTTTAATAAGAAGTATGTCTCGGTTGGTTTCAAAACAATTAACTAAAAGGTCCTCTACAAAGTTTTTATGCGATGGGTGTTTGGTTTATTTTTATAACGAAGAAAAACTAAAGCGTCATAAAGAACACGACTGCACTCACATTTCCATCAAACTTCCGACCACCGAATTGCGCAAGGATAAATACGGTAAAGATGTTCCCGCGAATAAGCTGAAATTTGAAGAATTTGAAAAGAAATTAAAAGTTCCTTTTGTTGTGTACGCGGACTTTGAAACAGTCATGACTCCTTTACAGGTGGAAGGCGAACCTAATCCCGACAAATCGTTTACCGTCAAAACTCATATTCACGAGCCTTACTCTTTCGCCTACTATGTCAAATGTGACTTTGACGATTCCCAGTCTACTTTTAAACAGTACAGAGGTCGGGGCGCACACAAAATTTTCATTGAATGGTTGGAGAGCGACTGCAAAGCGCTCTACAACAAGTTCATGAAAACTTCCGTGCCCATGACCACTCTATCGTTTGAACAAGAGACCGGCTTTCGAAACGCTGTGGCTTGTCACATTTGCGAGAAGCCATTTAATGCAGAGGACGAAAAAGTAAGGGATCATTGTCATATGACGGGCGAATTTCGAGGTGCGGCTCACTTCACTTGCAACTTGAATTTCAAAGTTCCGCGGCACATCCCTGTCTTTTTTCACCATTTAGGTTTCGACAGTCATTTATTTGTAAAAGTTATGGCTGAAGAAGGGGAAAAGATCGATGTCATCGCCCAAAACAAGGAACGTTACATTTCCTTTACGAAACATGTCCTAGTCGATAACATTGAGTCGGAGAAAGGAGGCAAAGGGAAAAGGGTATTTTTAAAACTCCGATTTTTAGATTCATTTCGATTTATGGCATCCAGTTTGGACAGATTGAGTCGAAATTTGAACGATAGTCAGTGTCGGGAAGTCAAAAAATTTTTTAAAAATGAACAATAATTTCAACTTATTCGACAGAAGGGCGTTTTTCCATATACGTATCTAGATTCTTTTTCAAAATTAGACGAAACCAAACTGCCATCGCACGAGGACTTTTATGACTCCATGCGAAAGAGCAACATAACCAGGGAGGATTACAAGCGTGCCTGGACTGTGTGGAATTTGTTCAAATGTAAAACTTTAGGCGAATATTCAGATATTTATTTAAAATCCGACGTTTTACTTTTAGCCGATATTTTTGAAAACTTCAGAGAGGTGTGTCTGAAAACGTACGGTCTGGACCCGAGTCAGTTTTATACGACACCGGGTCTATCATGGACGAGCGCCCTGAAGGCGACAAAGGTCGAACTGGACCTGTTGACCGACGTGGACATGATACACTTCTTGAAGCACGGTATCCGCGGAGGAGTCAGTCAGTGTAGTGTGAGAAAGGCCGCGGCTAATAATAAATTTTTACCTCATTACGACCCTTCCAAACCTATTTCTTACGTCATGTACTTGGACGCTACCAATTTATACGGGGCGGCCATGTCACAATACCTCCCAACGGGAAACTTCGAGTGGTTGGAGGAGGGCAAAATTCAAAATTTAGATATTACGCGTATCCCCAACGATTCACCTAGGGGCTATATTTTCGAAGTAGATTTGGACTATCCGGAAGTGCTGCATGACGCACACAACGAACTGCCTTTTTGCCCGGAATCCATCGTTTCGCCAATCGCGAAAACCAAAATGAGAAAACTTATTCCAAATTTAAACAATAAACGTAATTATGTATTGCATTATAGGAATCTGCAACAGGCTTTAAGCAACGGTTTAAAGCTTGTTCGCATCCATCGCGTTCTTGTTTTCGATCAATCTCCCTGGCTAAAACAATACATAGACTTGAATACGGCGATGCGTAATACAGCTAAAAATAAGTTTGAAAAAGATTTTTTCAAACTTATGAATAACGCTGTGTTTGGAAAAACGATGGAAAATGTGGACAAAAGGGTGGACGTGCGGCTCGTTTCCCATTGGGAAAATATTGGGAAAAGGTTGGGGGCAGAAGCGTTAATCGCGAGACCTAATTTTAAAAATGTCGCCATATTTAGCGAAAATCTAGTAGCTCTCCAGATGGAAAGGACTAAAGTCGTATATGATAAGCCTATTTACGCCGGATTTTGCATTTTGGACATATCCAAGACTCTCATATACGACTTTTTTTACGGCTATCTAAAGGCTAAGTACGGCGACAAAGCCGTCTTACTCTACACCGATACCGACAGCCTCGTTGTCCAAATTTTTTGCGAAAATTTCTACGAAGATATGAAAGAAAATTTGGACAAATTCGATACTTCTAATTACTCGGAGAACAACCAACACGGCATTCCTGTAAACAAGTCCGTTCTTGGTAAAATGAAGGACGAGTACGCAGGACGGCCGTTGTGGGAATTCTTGGGTACGGGAGCGAAAGCTTATTGCGTAAATGTGGACGGCAACGAGTTGACCAAAAAGGCCAAGGGCGCTGCTGACTCGGTCAGCCAGCGCGAACTTAGTCTCGACGACTATAAGCGCGCTGTCCACGAGGAAGGCACGCTTATCTTGCGCCAAATGTCTTCGTTTCGCTCACATTTACATGATATGTACGTCGAACTGAAAAATAAGGTGGCGTTGTCTTACGCGGATGACAAACGACATCTTATACCCGGCTCAGAGTACACGCTAGCTTGGGGCCATCGAAATTTAGTTGGTCAAAGGACAGCGGGAAAATCACTGATTGATCGACCACCAGATATTTCTTTTGGCAAACTAATATGTTACGATTCCTTTAGATGATTGTAGTTTATATTTGTGTTTAATTTATGTATCTATTTATGTCCATATATGCTATTTATATATGCATATCGTTCGAATATATTTATTAATATGTGTCTATCCTGATGGGGTTTTGTATATGATTAATAAAACAATTTGTTCGATATTAGTGTCATTAAACGTCTTTTTCCCTGTTGCATTTTATTTAATCCGCAAAAAAAAAATGTTGTCAATAAATTATTATATTTTAAGCGACCTCGACGACCTTTTATTAGTTGAATTCTCTTATCGTCGCCGCCGAAATCGTCGTCGGCTAGGCTCGGCTAGGCTCGACTAACGTAGCGCGCGGGGTTCGAGGTTCGAATCCCCCGACCGCGCGCGACACACCGGTCGCTTTTTTCACCTCGCGCAAAAATACGTCAAAACAAAAAGGCACTAACGCAAAAACTACCCCCTACCCCCCCCCCCCCCCCCCCCCATTAAGGGGTTGAGGGAGACGGTTGGTTGGTGCTAAGAGGGTATGGATCGAATGACCTTGACCGGGACCAATTTCAACTACAATGAACCTTAAATTTTCTTATGGGAATTTACGTGTAAAAACGGCCGAAATTGCTGTTGAACGCAGGTATTATATCTACTGTTCGAAACCTACCTACTGAAAACGGCCATTGTTTTGCTTGAAATATATATTTTTTAATTAACAGCTCAGCCCAGAAATTTTTCTCAAATATGGGGATTGAATACATAAATTCATAAAAATATAATGGCCTTATATTTCAACGCATGGCACATCACCAGAAATAGTTCGACTTTCAAACAGATTTAGCCTTGGTCTGTCGGTTAAGGCGTCTGACTGGAAATCAGATTCTCCATGGCAGCGTAGGTTCGAAACCAACCTACTGCAAACGGCCATTGTTTTGCTTGAAATATATATTTTTTAATTAACAGGTCAGCCCAGAAATTTTCCTCAAATATGGGAATTGACTAAATAAATTTATAAAAATATAATGGCCTTATATTTCAACGCATGGCACATCACCAGAAATAGTTTAACTTTCAAACAGATTTAGCCTTGGTCTGTCGGTTAAGGCGTCTGACTAGAAATCAGATTCTCTATCAGCATAGTTTCGAAACCTACCTACTGCAAACGACCATTTGTTTTGCTTGAAATATAATTTTTGTAATTAGCAGCTCAGCCCAGAAAATTTTGTCAATTATGGGGATTGAGTGCATAAATTTAAAACAATATGCATACATATGCCCTTATGATTTCAAATGGTACATCACCAGAAATAGTCCTACTTTCAAACAGATTTGGCAATGGTCTGTCGATTAAGGCGTCTGACTAGAAATCAGATTCTCTATGGCAGCGTAGGTTCGAAACCTACCTACTGCAAACGGCCATTGTTTTGCTTGAAATATAATTTTTGTAATTAGCAGCTCAGCCCAGAAAATTTTGTCAATTATGGGGATTGAGTGCATAAATTTAAAACAATCTGCATACATAGACCCTTATATTTCAAATGGCACATCACCAGAAATAGTCCTACTTTCAAACAGATTTAGCACTGGTCTGTCGGTTAAGGCGTCTGACTAGAAATCAGATTCTCTATGGCAGCGTAGGTTCGAAACCTACCTACTGCAAACGACCATTGTTTTGCTTGAAATATATATTTTTTAATTAACAGCTAAGTCCAGAAAATTTTCTCAAATATGGGGTTGAATACATAAATTTATAAAAATATAATGGCCTTATATTTCAACGCATGGCACAACAACAGAAATAGTTCGACTTTCAAACAGATTTAGCCTTGGTCTGTCGGTTAAGGCGTCTGACTAGAAATCAGATTCCCTATGGCAGCGTTGGTTCGAAACCTACCTACTGCAAACGGCCATTGTTTTGCTTGAAATATATATTTTTTAATTAACAGGTCAGCCCAGAAATTTTCCTCAAATATGGGAATTGACTACATAAATTTATAAAAATATAATGGCCTTATATATCAACGCATGGCACATCACCAGAAATAGTTCGACTTTCAAACAGATTTAGCCTTGGTCTGTCGGTTAAGGCGTCTGACTAGAAATCAGATTCTCTGTCAGCATAGGTTCCAAACCTACCTACTGCAAACGACCATTTGATTTGCTTGAAATATAATTTTTGTAATTAGCAGCTCAGCCCAGAAAATTTCGTCAATTATGGGGATTGAGTGCATAAATTTAAAACAATATGCATACATATGCCCTTATATTTCAAATGGCACATCACCAGAAATAGTCCTACTTTCAAACAGATTTAGCCTTGGTCTCTCTGTTAAGGCGTCTGACTAGAAATCAGATTCTCCATGGCAGCGTAGGTTCGAAACTTACCTACTGCAAACGGTCATTATTTTGCTTGAAATATATATTTTTTAATTAACAGCTCAGCCAAGAAATTTTTCTCAAATATGGGGATTGAGTACGTAAATTTATAAAAATATAATGGCCTTATATTTCAACGCATGGCACAACAACAGAAATAGTTCGACTTTCAAACAGATTTAGCCTTGGTCTGTCGGTTAAGGCGTCTGACTAGAAATCAGATTCCCTATGGCAGCGTTGGTTCGAAACCTACCTACTGCAAACGGCCATTGTTTTGCTTGAAATATATATTTTTTAATTAACAGGTCAGCCCAGAAATTTTCCTCAAATATGGGAATTGACTACATAAATTTATAAAAATATAATGGCCTAATATATCAACGCATGGCACATCACCAGAAATAGTTCGACTTTCAAACAGATTTAGCCTTGGTCTGTCGGTTAAGGCGTCTGACTAGAAATCAGATTCTCTGTCAGCATAGGTTCCAAACCTACCTACTGCAAACGACCATTTGATTTGCTTGAAATATAATTTTTGTAATTAGCAGCTCAGCCCAGAAAATTTCGTCAATTATGGGGATTGAGTGCATAAATTTAAAACAATATGCATACATATGCCCTTATATTTCAAATGGCACATCACCAGAAATAGTCCTACTTTCAAACAGATTTAGCCTTGGTCTCTCTGTTAAGGCGTCTGACTAGAAATCAGATTCTCCATGGCAGCGTAGGTTCGAAACTTACCTACTGCAAACGGTCATTATTTTGCTTGAAATATATATTTTTTAATTAACAGCTCAGGCAAGAAATTTTTCTCAAATATGGGGATTGAGTACGTAAATTTATAAAAATATAATGGACTTATATTTCAACGCATGGCACATCACCAGAAATAGTTCGAATTTCAAACAGATTTAGCCTTGGTCTGTCGGTTAAGGCGTCTGACTAGAAATCAGATTCTCTATCAGCATAGTTTCGAAACCTACCTACTGCAAACGACCATTTGTTTTGCTTGACATATAATTTTTGTAATTAGCAGCTCAGCCCAGAAAATTTTGTCAATTATGGGGATTGAGTGCATAAATTTAAAACAATATGCATACATATGCCCTTATGATTTCAAATGGCACATCACCAGAAATAGTCCTACTTTCAAACAGATTTAGCCTTGGTCTCTCTGTTAAGGCGTCTGAATAGAAATCAGATTCTCCATGGCAGCGTAGGTTCGAAACTTACCTACTGCAAACGGTCATTATTTTGCTTGAAATATATATTTTTTAATTAACAGCTCAGCCAAGAAATTTTTCTCAAATATGGGGATTGACTAAATAAATTTATAAAAATATAATGGCCTTATATTTCAACGCATGGCACATCACCAGAAACACATACAGATTTAGCCTTGGTCTGTCGGTTAAGGCGTCTGACTAGAAATCAGATTCTCTATCAGCATAGTTTCGAAACCTACCTACTGCAAACGACCATTTGTTTTGCTTGAAATATAATTTTTGTAATTAGCAGCTCAGCCCAGAAAATTTTGTCAATTATGGGATTGAGTGCATAAATTTAAAACAATATGCATACATATGCCCTTATGATTTCAAATGGTACATCACCAGAAATAGTCCTACTTTCAAACAGATTTGGCAATGGTCTGTCGATTAAGGCGTCTGACTAGAAATCAGATTCTCTATGGCAGCGTAGGTTCGAAACCTACCTACTGCAAACGGCCATTGTTTTGCTTGAAATATATATTTGTTAATTAACAGCTCAGCTCAGAAATTTTTCTCAAATATGGGGATTGAATACAAAAATTTATAAAAATATTATGGCCTTATATTTCAACGCTTGGCACAACAACAAAATAGTTCGACTTTCAAACAGATTTAGCCTTGGTCTGTCGGTTAAGGCGTCTGACTAGAAATCAGATTCTCCATGGCAGCGTAGGATCGATACCTACCTACTGCAAACGGCCATTGTTTTGCGTGAAATATATATTTTTTAATTAACAGCTAAGCTCAGAAATTTTTCTCAAATATGTAGATTGAGTACATAAATTTATAAAAATATAATAGACATACATTTCAACGCATGGCACATTACCAGAAATAGTTCGACTTTCAAACAGATTTAGCCTTGGTCTGTCGGTTAAGGCGTCTGACTAGAAATCAGATTCTCCATGGCAGCGTAGGATCGATACCTACCTACTGCAAACGGCCATTGTTTTGCGTGAAATATATATTTGTTAATTAACAGCTCAGCTCAGAAATTTTTCTCAAATATGGATTGAATACAAAAATTTATAAAAATATAATGGCCTTATATTTCAACGCTTGGCACAACA